TATATATATATATATATATATATATATATATATATATATATGCAGTACCACTCAAATGAAAATAAATATATTCTGTTCTGTAGACCATATTTTCTAAAATCATTTTGATTTACATTTATATTTACCTGCAGTGGTTAACCTAGAGCCATCTCTGGGAGAGAGACTTCTGCTTTTATGCTGCTCATGTTTTCCATGCATAATTCATAAATGTGTGTTCATTTGTAACATAGATTAGCATTCCTGGCTTATCTTTATCTATTGCAAGCAAGCAGCTTTTTCTCCTCTGTACATGTGATCAAGTAATATCAAGTAACAAAAAGATAGCTTATTGTGGTCCTTGAAATTGGAAAGTGATCTCTTGCTTCCAGAGGGATCAAAACTGTGAATGGAAATGTTACTTGGAACTGTTTTACTAACTAGGTTGCTTTGGTAGCAGTATAGCAGGACCGCAGACCCAAATAGCATGCTGTATTGTTCCTACCTACCAGTAGTTAAGTTTTTCTTCCTGCATGAAGAAAGAAACAACGCAAGAACAAATAAGCTCTATACTTCAAGCATGTTGCCTTTTTACAGTTAACCAAAATAAACTGGGAACTCTTTATTTCTTTGTTATAATAATGTATATGTGGTCTAGTCCTCAATACCTGACAGCTCATGATATTAAAACCCTACGGCATGGAGGTTGAAAAAGTATATAAGAAATCACTAGTAAAGGACAAAAACTTTGAGAGAAAATTGAGAAATAAGAGGGGACATCACATCAGAAATATATTAGTTTGTCCATGCTTTCCAACTTCACCATTTGGACCTTTCTTCCCGCCACATGAGGAATAGTAGGCCTGGTCACCACAAAGTACTTGTGGAATGTTAACACTTCCTCCCCTATCCTATCTTGGAATCAAAGCAAGTAAGCTAGTTGTAGATTTTGAATAGATATATTTCACAGTTCTTACCCAGCCATATCTCAGTGATACGTTGCTGATCGTCACCAACAGGGCATGGAAGAGCACATAGACCATTGAATAACATGGCCTGATTGAAACATTTTCTACTCCACACTGACAAACTTATATTCTTCCCAGGCACAAACAGATGGGACTTCGTATATTTCTTGTTTTAATTCCACTTTCTTATTCAACATTATGACAGCAGTTTATGACAAATACTGTCCCATCTCTGTTGGAGTTCTGATGGTACAGGCAATTGGTTTTTCATTTGTTAATTATGCAGCTTCAGCTTTTAGATGATTGGTTCATTAATGAGTGAAGTAATTAATGGGATAATTTATGAAAGTGAATTAAGCAATCATTTGTACACCATCCAGACCATATTTCTTATTCTTATTGAAAAGCTTCATACCACAGTATATAATTGCTTTCAGGCAGGAACACGAATGCACACTAGGAGTGGAGTAATCATCATTATTTCAAAACAAGTGCTGCCGGAAAGATTATGTCTCTTTTCCAGGGTTATGGCCTTTTAAAATGCCATTCTTTTATTTTTTAATATTTATATATTTGCCATCAATATAGCCTATTGAACAAATCCAGAATGGATTCCTGCCTTGAGGAGTCTGCAGTCCCAAATTTTTGTCAGTGGGCAGGATAAATATAGGAAGGAGTAGGAGAGCCAGAAAACCCAAATAAAAGTTGTTTAAAAAAACCTCTGTGTATGTGCTCATATGAATTAGTATTTTTTATGGGAAAATTCAACATGTTTTTTTTAATGTTGACTCCCTGAACCTGGTTTTGATTGTCTTTCTCAGAAAGAGAACCTCTAAGGGTAGGCCCAATTATGGCTGCGATAGAGAAGAAGAATTTAAAACAGTCATAATAACACTATGCACCAAAGAAGAATATAAAATAAGTTGTTCATTTTGACATTTTGCCTAGTTAAATTTCCTATTTATTTCCTATGTCATCTAATTTATTATGATAAGTCTGTATAAAAATTACATAAATAAAACCTAAATGTGTTAGGTTTTTATTGCTGATTCCTCATTAGAATCATTTATTTATCCCTTTAAAATAGAGTCAACCTTTCTTTCCTCATATTTTCTCTCTCCTCCTCCCCCCTCGCCCCCCCCCCCCCCCCCCCCGCCGCTTAAGTGGAATCTAAGTAAACCTGATATTATTGTAACCCTATTTTCCCAAATAAGTTTTTCTGGCCTGTTATAAATAGAACAAGGCTCTTGGGGGTGTCAGAACATCTGAGATGCTCTTGGGCAAATTCAGCATGTATCACAGTTTATACGTAACAAATCAGATTGGCAGATATCCGGGATATTTACTAATGTCAGTAATGACCAAACTGTTAATTTATTGTCTGAGCGTTGTATCCTCTTTAAACTTGTGTTCACCTTCTCTGAAACTCTCCATGCTGCATGCTAGCACGGAGCAGCCGTATCCCCCGACCCAGCGTGAGTCAGGGGTGCAGCCGCGATACCAGCCGTGAGAGCAGCCGAGATACAAGCCCTGCTCGGGGCTTTCCTCCACTTGGTGAGTACCTGTAGGCACTAGAGCTTCTAAGGGCCACCCCTCCTCTTTCTTG